GATCTCGAATTTTTAATTCAGACATAAGCGTAAAAGTTATTATCTAAAGGGGAACTTATATGGGGTTGGGACAATTATATATCGATACCCATAAAATTTTGTACATAGATTTTGTTGGTCAGTTATATCGTCATAAAATTCGGAATAAAGAATTATAATAAAAATCTTTTTATTGCGAGTACAACGATGAAGTAATCATGGAGGCTTTATATATTAGGGATAGGTTCAATTGTGTAAAAAAATTGTATAAAACTTATTTTTTGTCAATTTTCACCGCTGTACTCATATTTTTAAGGGGACCTTAATAGGGGGTAGGGTAGGTTACCGAAAAATCCGAATTAAATTCGGTAGGAAGATTACGTTTGTATAAAAGTTGTTTATTTCGAATTTCTCCGCTATACTCGTATTTTTAAGTCAGTAAAGAGCGTTAAAATCAATTTTTGAAGGTGACCATATGTGGGGGTAGGGTCAATTATGGACCGATTGCCGTAAAATTTGCTAGAGAGATTTTGGCTTATATAAAACATATTTATGTCGAATATTTTTAAGTCGGTAATGAGTATTAATGTCATTTGGTAGAGAAATTTTGATGCATATAAAAGTTACTTATGTTGAATTTCAACGCTGCACTCATAGGGAGACCTTATTTGGGGGTAAGGTCAGTTATGGACCAATTCCCATAAAATTTGGTAGAGACATTTTGCCTTATATAAAACTTATTTATGCCGAATTTCATCGCTATACTCGTATTTTTAAGTCAGTAATGACCGTTTAAATCATTTTCTGAAGGAGACCTTATATATAAAATTTAGTAGAGATTTTGGCTTATATAAAACTTACTTATGTTGAATTTCATCGCTATACTCGTATGGGGGGTAGGGTCAATTTTGGACCGATTCCCATAAAATTTGGTACAGAGATTTTGACGCATATAAAACTTATTTATGCCAAATTTTATCGCTATACTCGTATGTTTAAAACAGTTGTGACTGTTAAAGCTGTTTTTCGGGGGGTCACTTGTATGGGGGATATGCGAAATTGCGGACCCATATTGCCCATTTGCCATACCAAACAAACCTTACCTATAAGAAATATTTGTGGAAAAATTTAACTCGCTTGCTCTTTCCGATCTAACCCTATCGTGCTTTCAACAGACAGACGGACGGACAGATGAACAGACGGATGGACATGGTTAGATCGGCTTAGAATTTAATAAGGACCCAAAATATATATACTTTTGTGGGTCTACGACGAATATTTCGATGTGTTACAAACGGAGTGACAAAATCAATATACCCCACTCATCTTTTTTGATGGTGGGTATAAAAAGCACTAAATGCACTGTCATAAAATTAGAAAGCACCACTGTAGTGCCTTTTTGAAAAAAGGCACCATGAGCAAAATTTTCCGCGTTTGGCACACCAAAAGGCACCGCAAATAGTGCTAAAAGCACTAAGTTGGCAACACTGTTGAAGAACTCAAAAAATCTTTCCGGAAATGTGTAGGAAAGAAGAAAAGAGAATTCTCTCCATTATCTCAGAGGACACCTACTCTTGCTTCTATGTACTTATGCATTTGTATGTATGTGTATTTATGTACTTAGTATTACCTATTTCTGTTTTGATTTTGTTTACGTTTATTGAACTGACAGGCGAACAACAAAATCAAAACAAAATAAACAGAATAGTATTGTTATTGTTGTAGAAGAGACATACGTACTGTATTATACGTATACTCAGCTGATAGATAAATCATCACAACAATAATAAGATACATTCATACATATGTATGTATGTATCTCAGATGCAAGTCTACTTGAGTATGTATGTACATATCATACATTGTTCACACTAGCAACAAATTTACATACATTTGTATGTACATTTATTGTGTTTTGCCTTTTCATTATTCTTATTAAATTGCTTTGACTCTAGTCAAAGATAGAGAGATAATAACACTGACAGATACATTTCAATGAATTATTAAAATGCAAAATAATCAAACAAATCAGACAGACGCTTATTAATCTAAGTTTTTCTTTCAATCGCTTTTCATACTCCTCATCAATCAATTGATATGTACATATGTATAAACGTTTCAATTTGATTTAGTTACAAAGCAAATAAAATAAATTATTTAAATATTTATATTTTCAATAATCAGCTATTTGTTTATCAATTAAGTATTTATAAATTGATACATGTACGTAATTGAATTTGTTGTTATTTTATATTTCTTTTAAATATACTTTAAATGTACTCATATACTTTTATGTAAAAATATTAAAATATTTTTTGTTTTATATATTTTAATTTATATTTATTCAGAACAGACATTGACTTTTCAGTATAATTTTAGCACGCGCGTGTTTTTTTAAACATTTTGCCGAAATACATAGTTAAATGATTTTAGTCAGACAGTTTATTTGTTAGAATATAATTAGACATTTCAAACAAAACAAAATATATAATTTGTTATTCTAGTAAAATAGGTCTAATGGCCACGAGGGTGGTTTTTAAAAGTTGGAAAAAATTTTTGCATAGTAATGATGACTTTCAAGAAACAGCATCGTTTCATGATATACATACATACATAATTAAGGCGTCTTGCATGTACCTTGTACTTATTGTGTTCTGATGAGAATGGTCGGTCATACATATCAAGTACAATCTAGACAATTCCCTATAGGAGAGGAGAACTCCATAGAAAAGAACAATTTTATACATATATCAAAAGTGTTACATAAGAGAGTTATTGTCAAATGTTGGGTCATCTCATGGAGAGGCGTCCGGTATTCCAGACTAATTTAAATGGGCTTGATAACAGCTTTTGCTAACGGTGAAACTTCGAATGCATATGTCAGATTTTTTGTCGAACTTAAATCAATTAACCAGCTTGATTGGTCTCGTATATTGATTTAAATTTTGATTTGGATTCACCTGCGTAGAGGGTACCACTTCTATGTTCGAAGGGATATATGTATGACCAAAGGCTCTTATCGAAGATTGATTTTGAAATACAATAGCCAATAGAAGAGAAATACTTGAGTCACAGAAGTTCCCATTTCCGCTGCTTAGCATGTGGGTCTACTGGGCTGTTCTGGACGTCCAACATTGGACAACTTTTTCATGCACAGCTGGCCGTATAACACGAACAATGTTGGCCTCCAAGACTCAATTATTTGATCATAAACTTAATTGATTATGATCATAAACTTAATTGAAATTAATAAGAAGTTGACAAATCTTACGACATTAATGATATGTACGGGATACAGGAGCAGTACGGTTCTTGTCACGTACAACCTGTATTAATATGTCGGATGTTTTTCTCTTGATTGTGTCGAATGAAAGAGTTGTATGATGGGTTAAAGGGTGATGGTGTCCCCCCTACTCAATTGTTATCGATCTCTTCGCAAAGTTAACACAGTGTGTGGCATGTTAGTAACAACCTTTCATTGGCTTTGATCGTTTCATACTTCGGTCTGCTGATTATGTCTCTAGGTACTGTTGCTCAATCAACAGATGCCATTTCATCGTAGGCACGTTATAATATCCGATGTCATAATGTCCACGAACGTTATTTCACTGTGTATCCATGGACATTGTGATACTATTTAAACAGAAATATATTGGAATATTTGATTAGGATTTTATAAGGCGATACTCTGATCTCGGATAGAATTGCTCCCAACTATAGTATTTTATTGATAAAAGAACTATTTGTAATCCATGGCCTTTATTTCACTTTACTCATGTCCATGGATACTATAACATTTTTTTGGTTTCTCGTTAAGTTCATAATTGTAAACGGAAATGATGCTTCTGTAGTATGTCGAATTTATGCAATGGGGAAGCGATGGCCACAGATTAGATAACTCAAGTACTCGAGCAAAGTGTTTGTTCATGGTTTCCGTTTCCGCCATGAACAAAAATTGCCAACCGCTCGTTCCTTAGGGATCTGAAGGGGCGTTGGTGGGTAGTCTTTAGCTTACCCTGTGGTTGAAAAAGACCGATTAAAATACGTCCTTCAAAGAGGTTTTCGCGTAATGCTTGTACGTGGCCCGGTATCCACCATGTACAAGAATTGCCACCTCCATGTTCTTTAGGGATCTCAAGGGACGTTGGTGGATCGTTTTTAGCTTACCCAGTGGTTCACGTAATGCATGTAAAACATCCGGTGGCCGCCATGAACAAAAATTGGCACCTGCGTGTTCCTTAGAGATTTGAAGGGGCGTTTCTCTCTAGCTGGAAAATATCACAGTGGAATAAGACCGACAGGAAGGTGTTCACTGGATCATACTCTTATCACGAAGGTGAAAGTATATAACAAACTTTATAGTTTTTATACTCTATACCACTTTAGTGGGAAGGGATGGGCTGAGATTTTGTAACGCCCAATAATATTGGTGCTATACCCACCGTAAAGTATAAATATTGTCTTAGAATCATTTTCTTGAGTCGATTTAGCTATGTCCGTCCATGTAAATCTTGTAGTCCAATTTTGAAGATAATTCAATGAAATTTGATGCAGGATCTCCCCCAGCCCCCATCCGGAATATATATAATTATGTGGATTTATATATCAATATACACCCATTATTTTTGAGTATTGATAAGAAACAATTTGTATAGAAAGAATTATTACAATCGTGAACGAAAAAAAATTGAACTCGAGAATACAAAATCGATCGGGATAACTGCGAAATTGAAATAATATCGATTAGAATAAATGACTCCTACATTTTACAATATGTTCCTTATCAATTTTGTTTGTGATCAATAGTGATTTTCATTATGTTTGAAAATCATGTTATCACTTAAAGATTTTTAATTTTATCGAAATTGTCTCGTATTAGTTGATAGATATATGATAGGGTATATCATAACAAATGTCTGTCTGTTGTTGTTGTATATTTTTGAGGTAGATTATAAATATTTTCTTGTTTTTTCCAGTTTTGTGGTTACATAGTAGCTGATAATTTTCAAAAAAATACTCACTCTCGAATTGGTTTATTTGAAAATTGCAGTTTTTTTCTCTGGATTTAAAATTGTGGTTTTAGTTTTTTTTTTTCAGGAAACTAAAAACGTTATTAACTTTAGATAATAATAAATATTAGGTAATTTGTGTTGGAATTTAAAGGTGAATGTTAATTTTACCTTATAGACAATTATTTATGGTTTATAGATTTTATATCTATTTTTTATGAAGTTTTTTTTTGTGTTATCATTAAGTAAATTGTTAAATTTAGGGTTTTTTTTTGGTTAATTTGCAAGTATTTTTGTTAAGTATTTTATCATAGTATTTTAAAATTTTGTTGTTTATTTTGTAGACGTTTTTGTTTTTTTTTTTTTTTTTTTGGTAGCTTTTATTATATTAACTTATTTTTGTTAATTATATATTTTAACTTAATTTGTTGTATGTTGCTGACGATGAACGTGTCGATAACATTTAAACAAAAAAAAAAGCTGGGAATATTTCTTTAAATTTACTTTTCTTGTTATTGTTGTTTCGCTTACGTAGAAAATTTTCTTTTATTTTAAATTTTTTTTTGAAATTTTTTTTCAATTGGAAACAATGTGTGTTGTTCACAAAAGCGTTAAATATTAAAACTGATTGGTGTTTAAAAATTATTAACTCGTTGGTATTTGGCTTTAATAATAACGGCTAAAATATCATTTTATGATATGATTACATTTTTATTAATACTTTTTTTTCCGAAATGATTATTATCATTAACACACTGTTGCCGTTGTTGTTGTTGTTTGTTGATTTTCAAATGCTACTTTATCTCTACTTAATATATTTAAGCAACGATCATAAAATTCTCCCCTACCTAAACACATACACTGAATCCACCACTCTTTACTCAACTCACTGTCGCACTCACTCGATCACACTCACTTTTAACAATATATACAAATTTTCTTTTATTTAAAAAATATATATTTTGTTTTAATTTTCGTAAAAAAAAATTCAGTAGTCAGCACAAATTTAAAGAAAACAAAAACAAAACAATAATAAAACCATAAGAAACCAAAACAAAAACAAAGCAGCAGAATGGATCGTTCGGTCTATTGATAAAAAGAATAAACAACGTCTTTACACTCCGAAGTCATACCACAAACTAAATATAGTATTTATTTTTACATTTATTATTTTCGGCCATATGTTTTTTGTTTAGTTTCCATTGTCTACCACTCGAGCCAACGTACGAAGTCTTCCTTCTTGGTTGCTGCTCCTTGTTGTGTTTTTTTCGAAAGAGGTTAAAGCGAATAAAAGCAAAGAGCAAAGAAAATCAATATTCATGATCATTGTTTCTCATTTGTCGGTGTTGCTAGAAAGACCTCAAAGTAATTGTGTCCAAATTTTTGCCACAAAAATACCCAAAATAGCCATAATAATTTATCCGTATTTTCGGAGACCCATATCTTGAACAGAAAATGCATTTCCTAGATATAATGCATATCAAATGAAAGGCCTTTCCTTTGATGTCCATACTATATATATCGAACATAGCATTCAAAATATATCCCCGTTATTTATTGATCGATTTTGCTAATTTTAAATAGAAAATTTTTCGAAAGTATGTCTGATAGCATCATACAAACTTAGGATCCCAAAGACATCTGGGGATTTAGGAAATTGTATTCAACAAACATAGGATAGATAGGCAGGCAGACGGACATCGCTAAATCAACTGCGCTATCTAAAAGGATCCAGAATAGATTTATATACTTTTTAGGATCGAAATATTATATTTTGGAAATTAAGTTTGGAGTGACAAACATATAGATAGCCTTTTCATAAACAACATCACGCCCACCCACGGGGCATGCTATTTGTCTGAACCACCCTAACCTTGATGTAATTGCTATCCCGGAGTAAAGAGATGCTACTAGTACCTCTAGCCTATAAACTTCAGCTGTTCCAACCAAAGAACCTAACATATGTATCTGGTATAAATAGAACCGATCATAGGTAAAAGTTTCGTATTTTGTCTTGTGCCGGTTATTGGAGAGCTCTATTCGGAGTGCACATGATCGTTGTGCTTGAAACCAAAATCAGAGAAATCGGATTAAGTTTGATTGATGCTGTTGCCGTAATCACAAGATAAGGCCACAGAGCAGTAGCTGCGGGACTTAATATTCGAAATAAGTTCATGGTAATAGAATTGGAATACATAATGAATCAGGCGTATGCTGAGCTAACCCTAACGCATTCCCAAAATGAATGTGTCTCTATGAATGTTTCTGATAAAAGAGTTATATGATTGTATGGTAACAGACTTAACGACTACGAAGCCAGATCCGATCAACTACGAAGTCATGAAGCCTGGTTCATGATGGTTTTGCCGTTAGCAGGCGATTAAAAGACTGTATTAAATACGGAAAGGATTTAGGAATTTAAGGCAATATCGTTTAATATAATACCATCTATAACTACTTATTGGTTCTCACGAATGTCTGAGTTCTAGAATATTCGACATACAGACATAACAAATGGCATCAGTTGTCAGCACCAAGATGGCTGATAACACTATTTCCAAAGCTAGTTCGTAAAATATCGATTACTTGATGAAGTTTGCATTACGGTACGCCTTTATTTCAAACCCACAAAGATTCCTTATTCATGTATAGTTGAGTTCACGGAGTAATTGGACACTGTTTCGGGAGAAAATTTTAAAGATTATTTTTGAAATCAGGGAATCATGCTACGCTCAATGGAATACCTTAGATAAGTCATGCGTTACTACCGACCTGCTTTGACAGAACTGCCATCAAGTTGCCATTAGAGAAATGTGGACCTGGACATATGTTCCATGGTATATCACAATGAACACAATTATACATGGGCTCCGGTCGCTAAGAATGTTTGTGATGGGGTATTGGATTTATCTTTAACATAGATTTAAATCCGCTTTTCCACATGAAGGGGTGATATTAGATGTCAGTGCTATTCCGAATCCTCTTTAAGAAAGACAGATACGTACAATTGCTATCAAGTACTTTGTTTCTGTACTTTAGATTTCTGTTAAACTTCGCTCAAAATCCGCTTTCCCATATGGAGGAGTGGAATTAGGGTCAGTGCCATTCCGAGTCCTCTTCATAGTAGACCATTTACAATTGCTATTAAGTATTTTGGGACGAATATTAGCTGCCACAAATCCTATATCATCTGGCAACTCTCTCTATTAACTATCACTCTTTAGCTTTGCTTCACTTCTCTTACACATACACATAGTAAACAAAATACTGTTGTTTGTTAATTCGGTTTTACGAGTTGATTCGTATTCAATACTCGTATTTCTTATCATTTAAATTTGCACTAAACATGTGTTGTTGTAACAAAAAAAAAAAAAAAAAAAACTACTTAGAAGGAGCACACTACTACTACACTTCTTATTAAAAAAAAAAATACTACGACTAGTAGCAGGCAACTAATGTTGTTGTTATTACTTGTACTTGTTTGTACATATGATAATCAGATGTATGATTGTTTTTGTTTTTATTACAGCTGATTTCTTTTAAAAACAAAAGTATAAAAGACATACATACATACACATGTATGAATGGCTTTACTCACTCGTACTTAGTTAATTACTTAATCCGATTTGAATGACGACTGTCAATGTTTGCTGACTCTCTGATTTTACTCTTTATTGTGATTGTTTTGTATGCATATGTACTTGTGTGTGTGGATGTGTAGTTTTTTGACAATTTCAAGTTGATGGATACAATTGGGTTTCGTTTTTTTTTTTCGAAATCAATCGAAATTTTTCCTTGTATTTTTCTATGTTTACTGCAAAGTTTTCAAAAATATTTTTAAATACTCATTATATCCTACACCACTTTAGTGTGGAGGGTATATTGGGTTTGTGCTGATGTTTGTATAGCACCTTTGGTGCTATACCTTTAAGTATATCAATCAGCTTAGAATCATTTTCTGAGTCGAGGTCCATGTAAACCTTGTAATCAAACTATAATTTTGAAGATAATTCAATGAAATTTGGTACATGATCTTCTATTGTCCCAGGGACGAAGCCTATTGAAAATGGTTAAGATATGTCTATTATTTCACCTAGCCCCCATACAACTGAACTCCCGAATATGGTTTGTAAACCTTGTAATCAAACTACAGGTCGCAATTTTCAAGAAAATTCAATGATATTTGGCACATGATTTGTACCAGAAACGAAGCCTATTGAAAATCGTTAACATCGGTCCATTATTTCACCTAGCCCCCATACAACTGAACCCTCCGAATAGGCTTTTAGGTTCATAATTATGTTTAATATACCACCAAGTTCTTAAGTGTATCTGTTCACTTAAATACTTTATTATGAAAACTAAATCACATTTTATTTTTTATAACTGGTGTAGGATAATTATATGGTCTCTGTGACTTCATTTATATTAATTTTTGTATTTCATGTTCCTATTGTATTTCATTCGAACTGTTGGACTTGTTTTCTGGATGTCTTATCACTACGCTCTTTATGATACTCTATTGGACAGTGGTTGTGAGTAGTTAAAAATTTCAAAAAAAATTTTCTTAGTTTTTTGCTATTATCGAACATGAAGAGAAGGATGTACTCGGAGGGTGTTCTAATCGTCACCTTCATGTGAAAGTTTCGGTTTCTGAATCCTCAGATGTTAATAACAACACCATTATAACCAATCCTAAGAGAAGAATGACAGTATAGCTAAGCTATCGACGAACATAAAGTGACGAACTGGAGCACAGTGGAAGAAGTTGAAAAAAATTCCCTCGAAGATCATATTGGGTAATCCCCAGTACATGCCGACGGATATATCGGAATTCCTCCCAACCTTTGAGGCAAAGAGAAATTCATCTTCCGGATAAACACTGAGAACAAACAAAGACAATAGCTAGCAGCGAGTTTAGCAGGGGTGTAATGGTTTTGAGGTTGTCATCACACCAATACGCTTGCAACTTTTCAAAATTAGTGGAAAGTATTTCTCCTCCCTGGGATTGGGCTAAACTAGGGACGTATCAAGAAGAGAGATCTTCTTAAGCTAAGATAGGACTGTTCAAGAAGAGTGATATTCGTGTTCTCTAAAAGTCCAATGTCTACATTAAAGGTTGGGACAGTAAATTGGCGAATGAACGTATATCGGAAATTCTTGGATACCAAAGTGCTAAAGGAAAGATGACTATGAGGTTACTCCTCTCGTGGAAGGTAGCGATTAAGATTAGCCTTGCCAAGAACAATGCTAAAACATATTTCGCCTACAAAGCTCCCGCCAAAGAACCTACGCCTGAGTCCACAGCATCATCTGCCCCTACAGACAACATGGAAGAGTCGAATACTAGCATCGAGGTGGTGATCGCTAACACGCAAAACATTTGGTGATCAGTCAGGGCGGTATTAGCTGATAAGCTCAAATTTAAGACGGTATTGGACTATAAAAGAGGGGTAATCAAACACCTTGCCTGTGATAAACTCTCCATTAGGGTGCTAGCCAAGTCGGGGATAAACGGGAATGAAAGAGCAAATGCTATAAAGGAAGGGGAGCTTGAAGAATGAATGCAAAACTGTTCGACGTAACGAGTACTAAATGAATCCCATACAGCCACTTGGAATAATGGAACGTTAAATTCTATGGCATTACCCATAGAACACATTATCATATGTATCACGAATATGGAATTTTTGTGTGAATATTTTGCCATCAATATCTCATTTTCATGAACATGAGAGATATCAACAATAGAATACAGTCCCTCGATATGTAAGTTGTATTAAAAATCGTATAAGCAAAACTTTAAAAAAAAAAATTTATTATACCCTTCACTTTCGTTAGAAGGTTTTTAATTTCGTTTGGAATTTCTGCCATAAAACCTTCCGACCCTACTGAGGGAGTCGATTAAGCCATGTCCGTCTGTCTGTGTGTTTGTTAATATAATAAATAGTTATTTTTTAAGTAATGCAACAAATACGTGATTCAATTTTAATAAAAATCACTCACAGATAATTCATTAATACTTGCACATTCGAATGAATGTGCTATTTTACAATTTTGAAGCAAATTGTTTACTTTTGAAAAAAATTTCTTTTTAAACAAATACATTTTAATGTGAAATTATTGAAATTAAAATATTGTCTAAAATATTTGAAAACTCCGTATTTTCGTATCGTATACATCCATATACCCACCATCAAAGCATTAGGAATGCCAAATTTATTTCCCAAAAACATTCGATCCTTATCTACTGTGCACTAAGAGCGGCCATTCACAATTACTCACAGAACAAAGTAAAATAAACCACAATTTTAAGTGCGTATTTCAAAGATCCCATTGGATACATTTCCACTATATTATTCAATATCAAACACTATTGAAAAAAAAAAAAACAAAAACAATTCAAAGTTTCATTCATATTTTTTAGGTCAAATACTGACGTTTATTCTGCATTCTAGTTTGACGTGTTGTTTATTTACTTTTAGTTTATTTTGTTTATACAAAATTTAACAAATAATATTGAGAGATAATTTGAAAAATAAAACAGAAATCTAATACTCTTATTATAGAGCACAAGTTCCCTTAAAAAAGTACTTTTCTTACAAAAGTACCTACCTCACTTTTCAATAATAAAAACCACTCCTAAAAGTATGCAATTTAACCCATTATGTGTATATATAAGAATAAGTTTATTTAAAATATTTCTATTATAAAGTCGTAAATTTATAATGCAAAAAAATTTTGTTTATTTAATGCTGATTGCTAATATATTGTTGTTTCTTCTTATTTACATTAAGTACAACAACCGCGTAGAGTAACCGCAAAAATTAAATATATTTAATATTCAGTTGCAGTACGTGCATGAACGGTTACAATTGCTGCACATGTTTGACTTTAAGCTGTTTCAAAGAAGTTCATTTAAACCGAAATAAATTAGCAGTTTTTTGCCTAAATGTCTGTATGTATATGGAATGCGATTTCAAGCGAATGTTGTTAAAATTTTACGATTGTTGTAAATCTATTTTTAAAAGTTTCAGTTCTAGTAATCGCTGCTTTTTTAAAATAAAAAAAAAAAAATATGTAAATTTTAGTTCTAGCACTCTTAGTTCTAGAACTAAACTAGAACTAAAACTAAGCTAGAACTAAACAAGAACTGAACTAAACCAGAAGTGAAACTAAACTAGAACTGAAGAAGAATTGAACTAGAACTGAACTAAACTAGAACTGAACCAGATCATGACTAGATCTGAACTACAACTGAACTAGAGCTGAACTGAAACTGAACTAGCACCGAACTAGAACTGAATTAGAACTGAACTAGAAATGAACTAGGACTGAACTAGAACTGAACTAGAACTGAACTAGAACTGAACTAGAACTGAACTAGAACTGAACTAGAACTGAACTAGAACTGAACTAGAACTGAACTAGAACTGAACTAGAACTGAACTAGAACTGAACTAGAACTGAACTAGAACTGAACTAGAACTGAACTAGAACTGAACTAGAACTGAACTGAAACTGAACTAGCACTCAACTAGAACTGAACTAGAGCTGAACTGAAATTGAACTAGCACCGAACTAGAACTGAATTAGAACTGAACTAGAAATGAACTAGAACTGAACTAGAACTGAACTAGAAATGAACTAGAACTGAACTAGAACTGAACTGAACTAGAACTGAACTAGAACTGAACTAGAACTGAACTAGAACTGAACTAGAACTGAACTAGAACTGAACTAGAACTGAACTAGAACTGAACTAGAACTGAACTAGAACTGAACTAGAACTGAACTAGAACTGAACTAGAACTGAACTAGAACTGAACTAGAACTGAACTAGAACTGAACTAGAACTGAAACTGAACTAGCACTCAACTAGAACTGAACGAGCTGAACTGAAATTGAACTAGCACCGAACTAGAACTGAATTAGAACTGAACTAGAAATGAACTAGAACTGAACTAGAACTGAACTAGAACTGAACTAGAACTGAACTAGAACTGAACTAGAACTGAACTAAAGGTGTACCAAAGATGAAATAACACTGAACTAGATCTAAATTAGAAGAACTGAACAGGAACTGCGCTAGAAATGAAACTAAACTAGAACTGAATTAGAACTAACCTAGAACTGAACTAGCACTGAACTAGAACTAAACTAGAACTGAACTAGAACTGAACTAGATCTGAACTAGATCTGAACTAGAACTGAACTAGAACTGAACTATTACTGAACTAGAACTGAACTAGAACTTAACTAGAACTGAACTAGAACTGAACTAGAACTGAACTAGAACTGAACTAGAACTGAACTAGAACTGAACTAGAACTGAACTAGAACTGAACTAGAACTGAACTAGAACTGAACTAGAACTGAACTAGAACTGAACTAGAACTGAACTGAACTAGAACTGAACTAGAACTGAATTAGAACTGAACTAGAACTGAACTAGAACTGAACTAACTGTTTTTTATTATTAAATTATATTAATTATTTCGTTGTTTTAAATCTAAGGTTAATGGATTCAATTAATTTTTTAATTGTCAGTGAAGTTTTTATTCTGTTTAACTTTTGAAAGCAAACCTTCGTCTGGAGCTAACTTTTTTAGTTCCCAAAAATCGTTTGTTTTAAATAAAACACTTCAAGCTTATTTTGAAACTTTTACCTTAATAATTTATGGTTTGTAATTTATTTTATCACCGTTTCTTTTAGTAATTATACAAAAAAACATATCGCATTTAATTATCCTAAATAATAAATTTTTCATAAATAAATGTCTAAACAATAAAAATTTACATTAAAAAAAAAAAAAAAATTATAATAATAATTACTTCGTATAGGAATAAATTTGGAAAATTCGAATTATCTAGTTAAATGTTCATTTTTGGCAAGATCTGTTAATTTTTTCTCAGTTGAAACAAACAAATAAAATTTAAATTTTTAATTGAGATTAAAATAGTGTAAGTGATACGTTTTTGTTCTTTAAAAAAAAGCTAAACACTAGTATTTGGTATAAATGTCTAATAAACGAAAACAATTAATAAAAAATTAAAAAATACATACGTACATATAAAAAAACAATAAAATACTTGTTATATAAAAAGGAATTGCTTAAATAAACTAAACCCTAAAGCCAATAATTGTTAAACTATATAATGGAATGTGAAATGGTTTGACATGATTTTAAAGTAAATTTTTTAAACAAAAATTAATGAGAAAATAATAAATACTAAAGAAAGTTTTTTTTTATGAATTATTTACAATTATTGAAATTTCTCTCTTCATTTTGTGTCTTAAATTTAAAACTTTGAACTCTTCAACATTTAACGTTTATTTAATTTATGCCATAAACGTAATATTGTCAAGATGTGCATGACACCAATAATCGATACCATCAATATGACACTATGAGCCATATTCACATCCGATATCATCATATAGTTAAGGAAGACCTTGGGACTACGGAAATGACAATACATGGTATTTTCCGGACAAGGTAAAAATGGTCGTTCCATGCCATAGATGGCATTTAAGGCACCATGAAAACCAGCTCTGAAATAACTTATATGCCACATCCAACGGAATATGGGTGTTATATCGATATAACGTGAACAGAAACCGAAAATTGAGAACATCACAGCTAATATAGGACCCAGGAAAACGGCCAACTGTAAAGTGTAAGAAAATAATGTTTAGTTTATATTATTATTTTCTTAATTTAATTTAAATTTCTAACTTACTTTTGTTGGCAATGTAGCACCCACAAAGAAGCCCCATGATTGGGCACTTAATGTAGCTAATATACCAAACATTACGAAATAGTAGACACGGAAGCTTTCATCACTGTCATTGTTGGTCAGATAAATGCTAATGGACATGTAGCCTACAGCACATAAACTCTGAAAATATAAAGAAATAAGAATTATAAGATTATTTGGAAATTTATTAAAAAAAAAATACAATAACAAATTTAACAGATCTATTATTTATTTGAGTTCTAGTTTTGTTCCGTCCGCTTCTAGTTCAGATCTAGTTCAGTTCTATTTCAGCTCTAGTTCAGTTATAGTTCAGTTATAGTTCTGTTCTAGTTCAGTTTTAGTTCAGTTCTAGTTCAGTTCTAGTTCAGTTCTAGTTCTAGTTCAGTTCTAGTTCAGTTCTAGTTCAGTTCTAGTTCAGTTCTAGTTCAGTTCTAGTTCAGTTCTAGTTCAGTTCTAGTTCAGTTCTAGTTCAGTTCTAGTTCAGTTCTAGTTCAGTTCTAGTTCAGTTCTAGTTCAGTTCTAGTTCAATTCTAGTTCAGTTCTAGTTCAGTTCTAGTTCAGTTCTAGTTCAGTTCTAGTTCAATTCTAGTTCAATTCTAGTTCAGTTCCAGTTCAGTTCTAGTTCTAGTTCAGTTCTAGTTCAGTTCTGTTCTTTGTTCTAGTTCAGTCTAGTTCAGTTCTAGTTCAGTTCTAGTTCAGTTCTAGTTCAGTTCTAGTTCAGTTCTAGTTCAGTTCTAGTTCAGTTCTAGTTCAGTTCTAGTTCAGTTCTAGTTCAGTTCTAGTTCAGTAGTTCAGTTCTAGTTCAGTTCTAGTTCAGTTCTAGTTTCAGTTCTAGTTCAGTTCTAGTTCAGTTCTAGTTCAGTTCTAGTTCAGTTCTAGTTCAGTTCTAGTTCAGTTCTAGTTCAGTTATAGTTCAGTTCTAGTTCAGTTCTAGTTCAGTTCTAGTTCAGTTCTAGTTCAGTTCTAGTTCAGTTCTAGTTCAGTTCTAGTTCAGTTCTAGTTCAGTTCTAGTTCAGTTCAGTTCAGTTCTAGTTCAGTTCTAGTTCAGTTCTAGTTCAGTTCTAGTTCAGTTCTAGTTCAGTTCTAGTTCAGTTCTAGTTCAGTTCTAGTTCAGTTCTAGTTCAGTTCTAGTTCAGTTCTAGTTCAGTTCTAGTTCAGTTCTAGTTCAGTTCTAGTTCAGTTCTAGTTCAGTTCTAGTTCAGTTCTAGTTCAGTTCTAGTTCAGTTCAGTTCTAGTTCAGTTCTAGTTCTAGTTCAGTTCTAGTTCAGTTTAGTTCAGTTTAGTTCAGTTCTAGTTCAGTTCTAGTTCAGTTCTAGTTCAGTTCTAGTTCAGTTCTAGTTCAGTTCTAGTTCAGTTCTAGTTCAGTTCTAGTTCATTCTAGTTCAGTTCTAGTTCAGTTCTAGTTCAGTTCAGTCAGTTCTAGTTCAGTTCTAGTTCAGTTCTAGTTCAGTTCTAGTTCAGTTCTAGTTCAGTTCTAGTTCAGTTCTAGTTCAGTTCTAGTTCAGTTCTAGTTCAGTTCTAGTTCAGTTCTAGTTCAGTAGTTCAGTCTAGTTCAGTTCTAGTTCAGTTCAGTTTCTAGTTCAGTTCTAGTTCAGTTCTAGTTCATTCTAGTTCAATTCTAGTTCAATTCTAGTTCAATTCTAGTTCAATTCTAGTTCAGTTCTAGTTCAGTTCTAGTTCAGTTCTATTCAGTTCTAGTTCAGTTCTAGTTCAATTCTAGTTCAATTCTAGTTCAGTTCTAGCTCAGTTCTAGTTCAGTTTTAGTTCAGTTCTTAGTTCAGTTCTAGTTCATTCAATTTGGCAATATGGGCGTTGCCAAGTCACTTTATTAGAAATTAAACGATTATGTAAATTTATTTCACGTCTTATTTAAATAATAAAATTGTTAAAATAATTTAAAAAAGTGTGCATGTGAGTTAACATTATTATGTGAGTAACATTATTCTTTCTTTTATAATCAAACCCATTTTGATTTGATGATTTATTATCGGTAAATCTAAATTGACACTTGCGTCCTCTATTAAAATAACTTTTATAAATTTCGATCTAATTTATTTTTCAAATAAATCAAGACATAATTAATTACATGAATGGTAAACATTTAAGTCGCTTTTTACATTATAATTTCATGCAAAATAAAAATGAAAAGATAAAATCTGAATCACTGAAAAATTTGAAAAAATTGTATGATTCAAATTTCATTTTATCTCAACATGTGTGTTTTTTTGTTTGTGATAAAAATTAAAGAATTTATTTACAATATTAATGTGTTTGTTTTAGCAACATTAAATGCAGTTAATATTCAAATAACGATCAAGGGGTTAATGGCTTCTATGGTTCAATTTGAATAGAATTCTTAAAGTTTCCATTAAGACTTTAAAACAGAAGCTTTTTTCAATTTATTAGCCGCCAAATCTAGTTAAGGTTCTAATTTGATAAATTTATTTAAAACTTCAAATTCTCCAATGACGGTGTTCTCTCTGTTTCAGCGTGAACTTTTGCTTAAATTATCTTCATAATACTAATTTGCATAACAAAATTTTGGTCATTAAAATTGTATTTATTTGTCTAGCACTGCCAAAAAGTAACTTTTAACAGACGTTAGAGTTTTTTATAGTTTTTTTAATTGATGTTTTAAAAATAAATGTTTGTTTGTTTGCAATTAACCAAATTCCCATAACTGAAGGGGGATATACATATTTCTTACTAATAATAAACTAAATTTAAATGAAGTTTTTATATAAACAGATTTAATTGTAATTTTTGATCTCTAGATGCAAATGAGATCTGTACATCGTCTGTTCTTAGTTCAATGCGGAAAAGATGTTTCAATGTCAAATAAATTTTATAAAATCTACATTTCTCAAAACGTTTTAAACATTTTTTGAACTAGAACTCAACTAAACAAAACTTGAATTGAACTAGACCTGAACTAGAACTGAACTAGATCTGAACTAGAACTGAACTAGAACTGAACTAGATATGAACTAGAACTGAACTAGAACTGAACTAGAACTGAACTAGAACTGAACTAGAACTGAACTAGAACTGAACTAGAACTAACTAGAACATAAATAAGACTGAACTAGAACTGAATTGAACTAGAACTGAACTAGAACTGAACTAGAACTAAACTAGAACAGAAATAAAACTGAACTAGAACTGAACTAGAACTGAACTAGAACTAAACTAGAACTGAACTAGAACTGAACTAGAACTAAACTAGAACTGAACTAGAACTGAACTAGAACTGAACTAGAACTGAACTAGAACTGAACTAGAACTGAACTAGAACTGAACTAGAACTGAACTAGAACTGAACTAGAACTGAACTAGAACTGAACTAGAACTGAACTAGAACTGAACTAGAACTGAACTAGAACTGAACTAGAACTGAACTAGAACTGAACTAGAACTGAACTAGAACTGAACTAGAACTGAACTAGAACTGAACTAGAACTGAACTAGAACTGAACTAGAACTGAACTAGAACTGAACTAGAACTGAACTAGAACTGAACTAGAACTGAACTAGAACTGAACTAGAACTGAACTAGAACTGACTAGAACTGAACTGGAACTGAACTAGAATTGAACTAGAACTTAACTAGAACTGAACTATGTAGAACTGATTTAGAACTAAACTGGTACTGACCAAGAAAGAAATAAACAAGAAATGAACTAGAATTAAACTAATTTGGAACTAGAATATTTGGAAAAACAAAAATGACTTTCGGGTGTTGACGAATACATTGAGATAAAATTAGTTTTCTGGGTTGTATATGATTATTGGTATTATTTTAATTTTTTCTTATTATATCTGCTGAATCACTTAATAAATTTATACATTCCACTGAGACCAAAACAGTAAAACCTTTATTTACTCATTTTTAAATGACAGCATATTGACAGTTTTGGCAAATGCCTTATTTTGCCTTTACACAAAAAAAAAAATCTACTATATAAACAACTATAAACAAACTTTGAATATTTAAATAATTTATATGAATAATAATCATAATACAACTTGAGTCATCATCAGTTTTATTGTAAAAAACAATATCAGAAAAATAAAGAAAATTTGTTTACGATTTACAATAATTTACAGAGTTGTTTTAAATTAAAAACAACTATTTTTGTTTGTTTTTATTAAAACAATATATTTTTTTTTAATTTAAAAAAAATTATTTAGCTTAATTTAACTCACCTGAAATGGTATTTCGAATGATAACAGAGATAGAAAGTAAGGGCCCCAAACTATACCAACGATTGAAATGTTCGCGTGATAACATACCAATTTCTAAGGGAACTAAATGAAAAGAAATAAAGAAGAATTAAGAATTATTGGAATACATAGTAATTTAATAATAATTTATAAATAATAATGCTAGATTTTGAATAATGATTTGATGACATGATTTTTGTAATGCAAACTGAACCAGAAGTGAAATAGAAACGAACTAGAACTGAACTTAACTGAACTAACTGAAACTAGAACTGAACTAGAACTGAACTAGAACGGAACTAGAACTGAACTAGAACTGAACTAGAACTGAACTAGAACTGAACTAGAACTGAACTAGAACTGAACTAGAACTGAACTAGAACTGAACTAGAACTGAACTAGAACTGAACTAGAACTGAACTAGAACTGAACTAGAACTGAACTAGAACTGAACTAGAACTGAACTAGAACTGAACTAGAACTGAACTAGAACTGAACTAGAACTGAACTAGAACTGAACTAGAACTGAACTAGAACTGAACTAGAACTGAACTAGAACTGAACTAGAACTGAACTAGAACTGAACTAGAACTGAACTAGAACTGAACTAGAACTGAACTAGAACTGAACTAGAACTGAACTAGAACTGAACTAGAACTGAACTAGAACTGAACTAGAACTGAACTAGAACTGAACTAGAACTGAACTAGAACTGAACTAGAACTGAACTAGAACTGAACTAGAACTGAACTAGAACTGAACTAGAACTGAACTAGAACTGAACTAGAACTGAACTAGAACTGAACTAGAACTGAACTAGAACTGAACTAGAACTGAACTAGAACCGAACTAGAACTGAACTAGAACTAGAACTGAACTAGAACTGAGCTAGAACTGAGCTAGAACTGAACTAGAACTGAACTAGAACTGAACTAGAACTGAACTAGAACTGAACTAGAATTGAACTAAACTGAACTAGAACTGAACTAGAACTGAACTAGAACTGAACTAGAACTGAACTAGAACTGAACTGAACTAGAACTGAACTAGAACTGAACTAGAACTGAACTAGAACTGAACTAGAAATGAGCTAGAACTGAACTAGAACTGAGCTAGAACTGAACTAGAACTGAACTAGAACTGAACTAGAACTGAACTAGAACTGAACTAGAACTGAACTAGAACTGAACTAGAACTGAACTAGAACTGAACTAGAACTGAACTAGAACTGAACTAGAACTGAACTAGAACTGAACTAGAACTGAACTAGAACTGAACTAGAACTGAACTAGAACTGAACTAGAACGAACTAGAAATGAGCTAGAACTGAGCTAGAACTGAGCTAGAACTGAAGTAGAACTGAAGCTAGAACTGAACTAGAACTGACTACTAAACTAGAACAGAAATAAAACTGAACTAGAACTGAACTAGAACTGAACTAGAACTGAACTAGAATTGAACTAGAAACTGAACTAGAACTGAACTAGGACTGAACTAGAACTGAAATAGAACTAGAACAGAACTAGAACTGAACTAGAACTGAACTAGAACTGAACTAGAACTGAACTAGAAACTGAACTAGAAAACTGAACTAGAACTGAACTAGAACTGAACTAGAACTGAACTAGAACTGAACTAGAACTGAACTAGAACTGAACTAGAACTGAACTAGAAGAACTGAACTAGAACTGAACTAGAACTTGAACTAGAACTGAACTAGAACTGAACTAGAACTGAAGTAGAACTGAACTAGAACTGACTAGAACTGAACTAGAACTGAGCTAGAAACTGAAAGTAGAACTGAGCTAGAACTGAACTAGAACTGAACTAGAACTAAACTAGAACAGAAATAAAACTGAACTAGAACCTGAACTAGAACTGAACTAGAAACTGAACTAGAATTGAACTAGAACTGAACTAGAACTGAACTAGGACTGAACTAGAACTGAAATAGAACTAGAACAGAACTAGAACTGAACTAGAACTGAACTAGAACTGAACTAGAACTGAACTAGAACTGAACTAGAACTGAACTAGAACTGAACTGAACTAGAACTGAACTAGAACTGAACTAGAACTGAACTAGAACTGAACTAGAAATGAGCTAGAACTGAGCTAGAACTGAGCTAGAACTGAACTAGAACTGAACTAGAACTGAACTAGAACTGAACTAGAACTGAACTAGAACTGAACTAGAACTGAACTAGAACTGAACTAGAACTGAACTAGAAACTGAACTAGAAATGAGCTAGAACTGAGCTAGAACTGAGCTAGAACTGAAGTAGAACTGAGCTAGAACTGAACTAGAACTGAACTAGAACTAAACTAGAACAGAAATAAAACTGAACTAGAACTGAACTAGAACTGAACTAGAACTGAACTAGAATTGAACTAGAACTGAACTAGAACTGAACTAGGACTGAACTAGAACTGAAATAGAACTAGAACAGAACTAGAACTGAACTAGAACTGAACTAGAACTGAACTAGAACTGAACTAGAACTGAACTAGAACTGAACTAGAACTGAACTAGAACTGAACTAGAACTGAACTAGAACTGAACTAGAACTGAACTAGAACTGAACTAGAACTGAACTAGAACTGAACTAGAACTGAACTAGAACTGAACTAGAAATGAGCTAGAACTGAGCTAGAACTGAGCTAGAACTGAAGTAGAACTGAGCTAGAACTGAACTAGAACTGAACTAGAACTAAACTAGAACAGAAATAAAACTGAACTAGAACTGAACTAGAACTGAACTAGAACTGAACTAGAATTGAACTAGAACTGAACTAGAACTGAAACTAGGACTGAACTAGAACTGAAATAGAACTAGAACAGAACTAGAACTGAACTAGAACTGAACTAGAACTGAACTAGAACTGAACTAGAACTGAACTAGAACTGAACTAGAACTGAACTAGAACTGAACTAGAACTGAACTAGAACTGAACTAGAACTGAACTAGAACTGAACTAGAACTGAACTAGAACTGAACTAGAACTGAACTAGAACTGAACTAGAACTGAACTAGAACTGAACTAGAAACTGAACTAGAACTGAACTAGAACTGAACTAGAAATGAGCTAGAACTGAGCTAGAACTGAGCTAGAACTGAAGTAGAACTGAGCTAGAACTGAACTAGAAACTGAACTAGAACTAAACTAGAACAGAATAAAACTGAACTAGAACTGACTAGAACTGAACTAGAACTGAACTAGAATTGAACTAGAACTGACTAGAACTGAACTAGGACTGAACTAGAACTGAAATAGAACTAGAACAGAACTAGAACTGAACTAGAACTGAACTAGAACTGAACTAGAACTGAACTAGAACTGAACTAGAACTGAACTAGAACTGAACTAGAACTGAACTAGAACTGAACTAGAACTGAACTAGAACAGAACTAGAACTGAACTAGAACTAACTTAGAACTAACCTAGAACTGATATAAAACTGAAATAAAACTAAACTAGAACCGAACTAGCAGCAATAAATAGAACTGAAATAAAACTGAACTAGAACTGAACTAGGACTGAACTAGATCTGAACTAGAACTGAACTAGAACTGAACTAGAACTGAACTAGAACTGAACTAGAACTGAACTAGAACTGAACTAGAACTGAACTAGAACTGAACTAGAACTGAACTAGAACTGAACTAGAACTGAACTAGAACTGAACTAGAACTGAACTAGAACTGAACTAGAACTGAACTGGAACTGAACTAAAACTGAACTAGAACTAAACCATAACTAAACGAAATTAAACAGGGATCAACTAAATATTCGATTTTAATTACAAATTTGCAAATCATTGGATACTGTGTGTGTTCTATTACATATTTGATATGTAAAAGGTTTTACTTTGTGTGTTCTATTACATATTTGATATGTAAAAGGTTTTACGTAATTTTTTATCCTCAAATCTCTTTCCCCCTATTGTATCTTACCTTTGGCCTATTAACATACTAACTTATTTTTGAACTTTGTCCGTCTAAATATACGTATAAATATTTATAAATTCTAATTTATATTAAATATTCTAAAATAAGCTTTGATCATTTAACAAAGTCTAACAGCATTTGACACAGATTCATTCATAAAATTAAGTGACGGAAACGTAACGAAATGAACAAAAAAATTATATGAAATAAATTAATATTTAATACTTTGTGAGAAACTAAATAGAAATTGTTAATAAAATTATTTAAATAACCAGAATTAGATATAGAATGAAAATTAGTAGTTATATAGACAGACAGATAGACTGATTGTGAGATAGACAAACATCTGGCAGAGCAAGTTTAATGAACCAGTGATGCGAGAGCGCCTATTAACAACAGTATGTGGAAAAAATAGACGTAACAGCAAATAATATTTGTTCATAAATGTAGTAAACTTACAATAAAAACTTAAAGAGTTTCGGAAAATGTAAACTAATGTCTAGACAATGAAAACTATATAAATTTATTTTCTTAACTTCAGATTTCTTAAATAATTGATCAAATTTGTGCTAATAACTGTTTTGTAGTAGAACATTTTTTAATAAATGTACGCTTACTTTTCACACTAAACTGTCTTACTTGTTTCTGTAGAACCGCCAACACTTTTTTCTAGCAAAATCAATGTTTGAGTTACAACATTCTAAAAAACACAAATATCTAGTATGTTATACAAAAACAAAATCTATTGACTAATTTCAAATTTACGTAACATTAAATCAATGTTGTGGCAAATTATAAACAACTTAAAAAAGTAAACAGTAATTAATTAAATAAAAAATATTAATTTAAATAAAAAAAAAACAACTTAAATTATGTAACATGAAAAAAAGTACTTACAAGTTAGAACAACGGCCATTTTGCCCGTATAGACCAGCAGCAGTATAGTACCATACAAATAGACATAATTGCCCAATACTGTAGTGGCTTTTTCACCGACATTTTTATACAGGTAACCGAATATGAGACCAATAAACAAATGTGAAATATACGAGCCATGAGCAGAAACTGTAAGTGTTAAAAAGTAAACAGAAAATCGTGTTAAATTATTGTAATTCTATTTATTTATTGTAAATTGTATATAATTAGTATTTAACCTTAATAGATTCTAAGTTAAATATATATAAATAATATTTTAGTTAAGGCTCGTATGTTCGTTTTAAGGTAATAATGAAAGATACATATTTACATAGTAAATTAGTCGAAATACTACATCTAGTATTGAATAAGTGAGAACAACTTAACTAGAATTGACTTAGAACTGAACTAAAACTGAACCAAAACTGAACTACAACTGAACTAGAACTGAACTAAAACTGAACTAAACTGAACTAAAACTGAACTAAAACTGTACTAGAACTGAACTAGAACTGAACTAGAACTGAACTAGAACTGAACTAGAACTGAACTAGAACTGAACTAGAACTGAACTAGAACTGAACTAGAACTGAACTAGAACTGAACTAGAACTGAACTAGAACTGAACTAGAACTGAACTAGAACTGAACTAGAACTAAACTAGAACTGAACTAGAACTGAACTAGAACTGAACTAAACTACAACTGAAACTAGAACTGAACTAGAACTTGAACTAGAACTGAACTAGAACTAAACTAGAACTAAACTAGAACTGAACTAGAACTGAACTAGAACTAAACCAGAACTGAACTAGAACTGAACTAGAAACTGAACTAGAACTGAACTAGAACCAAACTAGAAACTAAACTAGAACTGAACTGAACTAGGACTAGAATCGAACTAGAACTGAACTAGAACTAAACTAGAACTGAAACTAGAACTGAACTAACTAAACTGAACTAGAACTGAACTAGAACTGAACTAGAACTGAACTAGAACTGAACTAGAACTGAACTAGAACTGAACTAGAACTGAACTAGAACTGAACTATAACTGAACTAGAACTGAACTAGAACTGAACTAGAACTGAACTAGAACTGAACTAGAACTGAACTAGAACTGAACTAGAACTGAACTAGAACTGAACTAGAACTGAACTAGAACTGAACTAGAACTGAACTAGAACTGAACTAGAACTGAACTAGAACTGAACTAGAACTGAACTAGAACTGAACTAGAACTGAACTAGAACTGAACTAGAACTGAACTAGAACTGAACTAGACTGAACTAGAACTGAACTAGAACTGAACTAGAACTGAACTAGAACTGAACTAGAACTGAACTAGAACTAGAACTGAACTAGAACTGAACTAACACTGAACTAGAACTGAACTAGAACTGAACTGGAACTGAACTAGACTGAACTAGAACTGAACTAGAACTGAACTAGAACTGAACTAGAACTGAACTAGAACTGAACTAGAACTGAACTAGAACTGAACTAGAACTGAACTAGAACTGAACTAGAACTGAACTAGAACTGAACTAGAACTGAACTAGAACTGAACTGAACTGAACTGAACTAGAACGAACTGAACTAGAACTGAACTGAACTAGAACTGAACTAGAACTGAACTAGAACTGAACTAGGACTAGAATCGAACTAGAACTGAACTAGAACTGAACTAGAACTGAACTAGAACTGAACTAGAACTGAACTAGAACTGAACTAGAACTGAACTAGAACTGAACTAGAACTGAACTAGAACTGAACTAGAACTGAACTAGAACTGAACTAGAACTGAACTAGAACTGAACTAGAACTGAACTAGAACTGAACTAGAACTGAACTAGAACTGAACTAGAACTGAACTAGAACTGAACTAGAACAAAACTAGAACTGAACTAGAACTAAACTAGAACTGAACTAGAACTGAACTAGAACTGAACTAGAACTGAACTAGAACTGAACTAGAACTGAACTAGAACTGAACTAGAACTGAACTAGAACTGAACTAGAACTGAACTAGAACTAGAACTGAACTAGAACTGAACTAGAACTGAACTAGAACTGAACTAGAACTGAACTACAACTGAACTACAACTGAACTACAACTGAACTACAACTGAACTAGAACTGCACGAACTGAACTAGAACTGAACTAGAACTGAGCTAGGACTGAACTAGAACTGACCTAGAACTGAACTAGAACTGAACTAGAACTGAACTAGAACTGAACTAGAACTGAACTAGAACTGAACTAGAACTGAACTAGAACTGAACTAGAACTGAACTAGAACTGAACTAGAACTGAACTAGAACTGAACTAGAACTGAACTAGAACTGAACTAGAACTGAACTAGAACTGAACTAGAACTGAACTAGAACTGAACTAGAACTGAACTAGAACTGAACTAGAACTGAACTAGAACTGAACTAGAACTGAACTAGAACTGAACTAGAACTGAACTAGAACCGAACTAGAACTGAACTAGAACTGAACTAGAACTGAACTAGCACTGAACTAGAACTGAACTAGAACTGAACTAGAACTGAGCTAGGACTGAACTAGAACTGACCTAGAACTGAACTAGAACTGAACTAGAACTGAACTAGAACTGAACTAGAACTGAACTAGAACTGAACTAGAACTGAACTAGAACCGAACTAGAACTGAACTAGAACTGAACTAGAACTGAACTAGAACTGAACTAGAACTGAACTAGCACTGAACTAGAACTGAACTAGAACTGAACTAGAACTAAACTAGAACTGAACTAGAACTGAACTAGAACTGAACTAGAACTGAACTAGAACTGAACTAGAACTGAACTAGAACTGAGCTAGGACTGAACTAGAACTGACCTAGAACTGAACTAGAACTGAACTAGAACTGAACTAGAACTAAACTAGAACTGAACTAGAACTAAACTAGAACTGAACTAGAACTGAACTAGAACTGAACTAGAACTGAACAAGAACTGAACTAGAACTGAACTAGAGCTAATCTAGAACTAAACTAGATGAGAACTTGGACTGAAAAGGACTAATCTAGATTTAAACTAGAACTGAAAAACTTCAAAATTTCTCTGAATATCTAAAAATTTTCAAAAATACATATATTTACAGACAAATTTTTATTGCACAATTATTTTAAATAATATTTACGAATTTAAAAATTTAATTTTTTTAAACAATAAGCAATTCTCAGGGCTGTTTGTTGAACTTAACTCTTTCTACATTATAATTAAATTTCCATTACAGCTATACAATTCCCCGCTACATTTTAGGGTTAATTTCATTGTAGGCAGTCATGCAATCCATATCTCTTTAATTTAAATAAACATTTTATGAAGTGAAAAAAAAAATAAAATTCATTGTATTGGAAATTCTATTGACATATTGACGAACAAGTATTTGTCGTTTTTAATGAATTTGCAAATTTAGTTTTTCTTCAGCCACTCACTAAAACTTAGAGTACTATTTGCCTTTAATAAATTTGAACAAATCATGCAGTGGTTAATAAAGTGTGTGAAGGTTAATTGTAATATCAATGTTTAATAGAAAAATAAAACTTTAAAAATTAAATAAATAACATGAAATAAAGATACTTAGAATAAACAAATACTTTATTTACAAACTAAATATCTTGATTATAATCTAAAGATATTAATACTGCTGTTTTTGCTATAGTATTATGTAAAGTTAGTTTATAGTATAGTCTAGAAACTATTTTTTATTAAAATTCTACAGTTGTTTAACCTAAACGACATAAGACGTTACATGTAACCCACTTTCGACCTGTGTTTCAGACAACACTTAACGTTGTAATATTTACGTGGAATACTAATTAGCATGATTTGTTAAACTATGTATTGTAAAACTAGTTAATTTTGTTGAAATTTAATCTATTATTAAAAAAAGTTTAGTAATTTTCCTATAAGAAGATTAACCAACATTTTTCTACAACATTTTTTCATGACTTATGTCATTCTTGTAAAAATTTTTGAAAATTTAAACTTAAAGTTGTCTTAGCAACAATATATTGTGAAGGATTTTAATATAATTTTACAGTGCATTTCATTAAAAAATAATAATATTAAAAACCCCATCAATTTTTTGTGTTATTTTTTTTCATTGTAATAATTATATAAACAAAACTTTCAAGTTTGTTTCCTCTTATTACAGTAATTATTCAACCATACCGTCAAAAACACTTAATGAGTCTATAAAACAAGTGTATTTAAATTTAAATGTTAAAATATTTTTTTTTACTAAATTTTGTTTAAAAAAAGCGAGATTTGTCAAGATGAAAGCCACAAGAACGAAGCGAAGCGGAGGGGAGCAAGGGCAAAAAGGGAAAGAGGGAGGGAAAAGAGACAGGGAGGGGGGAAAAAAGGCAGAAGGGGAAGAAGGGGGGGGAGGAGAAACGGGAAGAGGAGACGAACGGGGGGGAAGGAAAAAGGAAAAAGGGGAAGGAAAAAGGAACAAGGCAGAACAGAGGAGGGAGAAAAAAAAAAAGAAGAAGAAGAAGAGAGGAGGAGAGGGGGGAAGGCAGAGGAAAAAGGACGAAGGAAAAGACGGGGGACCGGGCGAGAGCGAGCGAGCGAGCGAGCGAGCGAGCGAGCGAGCGAGCGAGCGAGCGAGCGAGCGAGCGAGCGAGCGAGCGAGCGAGCGAGAGAGCGAGCGAGCGAGCGAGCGAGCGAGCGAGCGAGCGAGCGAGCGAGGAGCGAGCGAGCGAGCGAGCGAGCGAGCGAGCGAGCGAGCGAGCGAGCGAGCGAGCGAGCGAGCGAGCGAGCGAGCGAGCGAGCGAGGAGCGAGCGAGCGAGCGAGCGAGCGAGCGAGCGAGCGAGCGAGCGAGCGAGCGAGCGAGCGAGCGAGCGAGCGAGCGAGCGAGCGAGCGAGCGAGGAGCGAGCGAGCGAGCGAGCGAGCGAGCGAGCGAGCGAGCGAGCGAGCGAGCGAGCGAGCGAGCGAGCGAGCGAGCGAGCGAGCGAGAGAGCGAGCGAGCGAGCGAGCGAGGAGCGAGCGAGCGAGCGAGCGAGCGAGCGAGCGAGCGAGCGAGCGAGCGAGCGAGCGAGCGAGCGAGCGAGCGAGCGAGCGAGCGCGAGAGAGAGCGAGCGAGCGAGCGAGCGAGCGAGCGAGCGAGCGAGCGAGCGAGCGAGCGAGCGAGCGAGCGAGCGAGCGAGCGAGCGAGCGAGCGAGCGCGAGCGAGAGAGCGAGCGAGCGAGCGAGCGAGCGAGCAGGAGCGAGCGAGCGAGCGAGCGAGCGAGCGAGCGAGCGAGCGAGAGAGCGAGCGAGCGAGCGAGCGAGCGAGAGCGAGCGAGGAGCGAGCGAGCGAGCGAGCGAGCGAGCGAGCGAGCGAGCGAGCGAGCGAGCGAGCGAGCGAGCGAGCGAGAGAGCGAGCGAGCGAGCGAGCGAGCGAGCGAGCAGCGAGCGAGCGAGCGAGCGAGCGAGCGAGCGAGCGAGCGAGCGAGCGAGCGAGCGAGCGAGCGAGCGAGCGAGCGAGCGAGCGAGCGAGCGAGCGAGCGAGCGAGCGAGCGAGCGAGCGAGCGAGCGAGCGAGCGAGCGAGCGAGCGAGCGAGCGAGCGAGCGAGCGAGCGAGCGAGCGAGCGAGCGAGCGAGCGAGCGAGCGAGCGAGCGAGCGAGCGGAGCGAGCGAGAGAGCGAGCGAGCGAGCGAGCGAGCGAGCGAGCGAGCGAGCGAGCGAGCGAGCGAGCGAGCGAGCGAGCGAGCGAGCGAGCGAGGAGCGAGCGAGCGAGAGCGAGCGAGCGAGCGAGCGAGCGAGGAGCGAGCGAGAGCGAGCGAGCGAGCGAGCGAGAGAGCGAGCGAGCGAGCGAGCGAGCGAGCGAGCGAGAGCGAGCGAGCGAGCGAGCGAGCGAGCGAGCGAGCGAGCGAGCGAGCAGCGAGCGAGCGAGCGAGCGATCGAGCGAGCGAGCGAGCGAGCGAGCGAGCTAGCGAGCGAGCGAGCGAGCGAGCGAAGCGAGCAGCGAGCGAGCGAGCGAGAGAGCGAGCGAGCGAGCGAGCGAGCGAGCGAGCTAGCTATCGATCTATCTATCTATCTATCTATCGATCTATCTATCGATCTATCTATCATCTATCGATCTACGAATCTATCTAGCGATCGAGCGATCTAGCTATCTATCGAGCTATCTATATCTATCTATCTATCTATCTATCTATCTATCTATCTATCTATCTATTCTATCTATCATCTATATCTATCTATCTATCTATCTATCTATCTAGAACTAGAACTGAACGAGAACTGAACGAGAACTGAACTAGGACTGAACTAGAACTGAACTAGAACTGAACTAGAACTGAACTAGAACTGAACTAGAACTGAACTAGAACTGAACTAGAACTGAACTAGAACTGAACTAGAACTGAACTAGAACTGAACTAGAACTGAACTAGAACTGAACTAGAACTGAACTAGAACTGAACTAGAAACTAGAACTGAACTAGACTGAACTAGAACTGAACTAGAACTAGAAACTGAACTAGAACTGAACTAGAACTGACTAGACTGAACTAGAACTGAACTAGACTGAACTAGAACTGAACTGAACTAGAACTGAACTAGAACTGAACTAGAACTGAACTAGGACGGAAAACGAACAGTTCTGGTTCGATTAAAATCATTAATACAGCTTGTTATTCATCGTTAAATAACTACGCAAACACTCCAAGTCCGCTGCAGTAAATTTGATAACTTAAGCATTAATCGTAATAACTTTTCCATCTTTGAGTTTTAAATTCTTTTAGAACAATTCCTGTATAAAAGTTTTTGTGCTATGATTCGTTATAAAGTTCAAAAACTATGAATCACAAGACAAGGGGTTGTTAAACTATGTGTTTAATGTCTAAATGTTCATATATTAACAAATGTTTATTATATGTATTTAAATGCATTTAGAAAGTAAATTATATATTTAACAATATAATTAAAGTATTCATCATTTGACATTTGAACCTAAAAAAGATATTATCAACAATGACTAATAGAAAGATTCTATTTTTTAAGGGATTTTTAACTGAAACACTTTAACAGTGGAATGAAATAATTATTATTCCAAATAATAAATGTACTTTACATAACATTTTATTTTTATTATATTTAATAATTTTTATAAAAAGTGATTACCTTGATTTTCAAAGTATTTCATATATTTAGGAAAATATTCAAGATATAAAATTTGTAAATGGAAAATTTCGGAACGGGTTTTTTCTCTCTTAAAACTATTTAAAATATGTATATTTGACTGGTTTATTTCAAAATTGTTATGTTTTTGTTTTCTTGAAAACGTCACGCTAGGGGTAACTCTTAAGAGTTATTAAAATATTATATATTTTAATGGGTTTTATTATGTTTATTTAAATAATTAAAAACTATTTTAATTAGTTGGTTATTAAAATAAACAACTAACTAAAACGAAATTTTGTTTTATAAAATAAACATAAACAATTAAAATTATGAAAAATAAAAAAAAAAAACAAACAAAAAATCATAAACCATAAAAAGTTTACAAAAATTCAAAAAAAGCAAAAAGAAATACTTACATAATTACGTTTTGAACATATCAAAATCCGTTTTAATAGTAAAAGATATTGCATGAAGAATGAGGCTTTCGCCACATTTTTACTGTCAATGTCAATTAATGACTTTGTTGCTTGTGGCTGCTGCTGTTGTTGCATAGGCTCTTGTTGCTGTTGTTCATCAACATTAATGTCCATGGTATTAAGAGCCTTCGTTTTCTTCTAAGGCCAGCTCCTCGGCTGAGGGTTTAACATAGTCGAAGGTTTGGCAATTGCAAACCTGCTGCAGTTGGCGTTAAAGATCTTTGTAAGTTTATTGCCTTTTGTTAAATGACAACCGGTTAAATCTACATTGTCGGCTGCAAATTATAAAAATAACAATAAAATTGTTAATTGTAGTGGAAGATTTTTTAGAGTTATTATTAAAATATTCATGCAAAAAATAGTAATAATGGCATTCAAATGTATTTTTAATGAGTTTTAAAAAATTTTGTTATTAATTGTTAAAAAAAATGTCTCGCCAGTAATATTAAATATATATATATATATATATATATCTGTATATCTGTCTAACTATCTATCTATCTATCTATCTATCTATATATCTATCTATCTATCTATATATCTATCTATCTATCTATCTATCTATCTATCTATCTATATATCTATCTATATATCTACTATCTATCTATCTATCTATCTATCTATTATCTATATATCTATCTATCTATCTATCTATCTATATCTATCTATCTATCTATCTATCTATCTATCTATCTATCTATCTATCTATCTATCTATCTATCTATCTATCTATCTATCTATCTATCTATCTATCTACCTATCTATCAATCCAGCTATCTTCCTATCATCAATCTCTTTTTAAGATTTTATTTTAATTAATTTTAAAAAGTTTAATCGCTTTTCATTCTTGAGCACAAGTTTTTCTCTCATTTTTCTTCTGACTTTGAAATTAAGATCAAGTTTTTTTTTATTGCTAAACATTTATATTTAATAGCCTTTGACGATTTTTATTACTCTCCTAACAGCTTCCTAAATCTAATTAGTTAAAAACATGTATTAATTTTATTCAAATAAAAAGAGAATAAGACATTATTTAC